GCTGAACTCCCATATGACTGACAGTGGTTCAAGTGATCTGGTGCAGGCTTGCTTTTTCACTTTCCCTCTCTCTTCCCCTGGTGAGCACATGTGCCCTACAGCAAATTTAAAAATAGTAATAAATAAAAAACTAAATAATAGGGACTAGCAGTTGGCGTAATGGCTATGTCACTGGACTCCCATGTAGTTGACTGCAGTTTGAGTCCCGGATCTAGTGGCTTAAACTTATGTGGGGCGTGCGTGCGTGAGTGCCCCAGACACCGAGAACAGAATGGAGGAGAAGGGATTGCGGCGTGGCCATCCCTGCTGGAGGGTGATTTCTCGCTTTTTGTCTCTCTCGTTTTTCTGGCAAGCGCACGTGCCCTATAGCAAAAACCTCTCAAACCCCAAAAACTAAAGAATAAAAAATGAATTATTTGGTGCTTATTTATTTATTTTAATTTGACCAGAGAGAAAGTGAGAAGGCAAGCCATCAGGTCTGGGACTCAAACTATGGTCAGCCATGTGGGAGTCCAGCGCCTTAACCACCATGCCGCCTGCTGGTTTTTTGTTTTTTGGTTTTTTTTTTGCTATAGGACACATGTACTTGCCAGAAAGACAGAGAGAAACAGAGAGACAGAAAGTGAGAAATCACCGCCCGGGAGGATGGCCATGCTGCAACCCCTTCTCCTCCATTCTCCTCTCGGGATCTTGGGCATGCACACACACACACGCCTGGGGTGAGATTAAGCCACCAGGTCCGGGATTTGAACCACAGTCAACTACTTGGGAGTCCAGCGACAAAGCCATTATGCCAACTGCTAACCCCAGTAATTCTCTTTTTTTAAGAGAAATTTTTGTTACAGGGCACATGCACTTGCTGGAGAGACAGAGATAAAAAGTGAGACATCACCCCCTAGTGGGGATGGACATGTGGCAATCCTTTCTCCTCCATTCTCTCAGCATTTTGGGCACATGCATGTTTCTGGTGAGTTTTAAGCCGCTGTCCAGGATTTGAACTGGGGTTGACTACCGTGGGAGTCTAGTGATGTAACCATTATGCCATCTGCTGGTCCCATAAATAATTCTTCTTTTTTTTTTGTTTGGAGAGGTTTTTGCTATAGGGCACGTGCGCTCGCCAGACAGACAGAGAGACAGAAAGCGAGAAATCACCCCCCAGGGGGGATGGTCACGCCGCAATCCCTTCTCCTCCATTTTCCTCTCGGGATCCCGGGCACGCACGCATATGCACCCAGTGTGAGTTTTAAGCCACCGGGTCCAGGATGCGAACCGCGGTCAACTACGTGGGAGTCCAGCAACATAGCCATTACTAACTGCTGGTTCCCCCCATAAATAATTCTTAAAAAAAAAAAAAATCCATAGCCTTATCCTTTTTCCCATTTTTTTACTTAATAGAGTCCCACATAACTTCTGCCCTTCAGCTGTCTCTTCACAAATCTTCCTTATTACCTTCTTTCTTAGCAAGTCCTATTAGAACTCTAGAAAAAGGAAAAAAAAATACTTTCTATATTATTAGTCATATTACCTAAGTGGTAAATATTTATTTTTTCACCTAAAATAGCAACAAGTCTCTTAGTACTCAATGGACACTGATGATCTATAGGGTGCCAAGTATTGAAGAATATATGTATGACTGTTGCAAAAATCCTAGCTTAAAAGCAAAGTTTCAGGGGCCGGCAGGTGGTATGGTGGTTAAGGGGGTTGGATTCCTACATGACTGACCATGGATCAAGTCCCGGATCTGGCAGCTTGCTTTCTCACTTCCCTTCTCTTTCTCTTTCCTTCTGGTCAAAAGAAAATAATAATAAAGTGTTAAATTTTAAAAAATGTTTAAAAAAGAAAAGTTTCAAAAACTAAAATAAGGGATTGGCAGGTGGCATGGTGGTTAAGGGTGATGGACTCCCATATGGCCGACTGTGGTTCAAGTCCCGGATCTGGCGGCTTGCTTTCTCACTTTCCCTTTCTCTCTCACTCTGTCCCTCTCTGTTCAAATAAGATAAATAAATAAATAAAATGAATCAAGTTAAATAAAATAATTAAAAATAAAAACTAAACTAAAACAGGCAGCCAAATACAATTGTGAACTCATTGACTATGCAGTTTCTTATGCTTGTTTAAACACTTAACTAAACCTCTGAAAGCTGGCTAGATTATAATACTTACAGCTTAATGAGGTGATAACAAGGGAGTAGGAAGGCTCTCTTGTTTTCCACAGTATCCTGGGACTTCATCTAGTACTGGGGATGCACATCACTGCATTAACAAAGACCTGGGTTTTTCCTTTAAGTGCGTGACACACTACAACGAGGGGATTTTAAAAGATGAAAGGAACCTTAAGAGATTGTGCAGGCTATGATTTTTTTTAAATTATGGAATGGTTTCCTCAAAAGAATTCTTATACAGAAATTCAATATATGAAGCAGACACATGTTTCAACTCTCCTCTATCTAGTTTGAGAGGAAAGAATGAACCTGTTCACTTGGGAAGGTAGTATCTTCCCTAAGAAGCCCCCAAAAGCAGCCCCACAAAACCCTAGCAGAACAGTTGTAAAAGTACAGATCTAATCAAAACTTTTCTCGTACTACTAGACAAGAAAACTGAGGAAACCAAGGCCTCCACAGGTCAAGTTTCTTGTCATAAATAACACGGCTACTAGTGATGTTTAAGGAAACTGCATAGGGACCAGCAGTTGGCGTAATGGTTATGTTGCTGGACTCCCATCTAGTTGACCGTCATTTGAGTCCTTGACCTAGTGACTTAAACTCATGCCGGGCGTGTGTGCGTGCGTGCCCAAGTTCCCGAGAGGAGAATGGAGGAGAAGGGATTGCAGCATGGCCATCCCCCCTGGGGGATGATTTCTCACCCTATTACTCTTTCTGGCGAGCACATGCGCCCTATAGCAAAAACCTCTCAAAAAAAAAAAAAAAACTGTATAGAGTTAGTAGTTAACACTAGTTAATAGTGGATGATTTACAAAAGATTGAATTCCTGGAACATCTACGTCAACAATGGAGTTCTTGATCAATAAGTATTCTCCTACACTGCCTACAGTGGTGGTCTACTTCTCATCTACATTCAAGACATCACCTACTTTTGCCAAACCAATGGTAAATAAATGACTTCAAATTCCTGTACTAACATAATCAGTCGGAGCCACACCTTTCCATACACATCATTTCAAGTATCAGAAATTAAGTAGCAGCACCTCTGATTCTGGTCTTTACTCTAGGTCCTGTGTACAACTGGGCTTGATCAGAATTCAACTGTCTTGCTAGGAGAACATTTCTGAGCCAGGGAAGTTAGGAAAGTACTAGTCAGGCTTTAAGCACAAAATATACGACACCATGTATTTCGTGTGTTTGTACACCCAAACACCCCACTCCATCTAACAAACCTTCTTTCTTACCTGGGAATTTGGCTGGAATGCAGCATGGGGTGTTGAGTGTTTCTGTAAATTTTCTAGCATTAGAGCCTGATATAGGGAAGAACAAAAGTCAAAACCAGAAGGAAAAAAAACAAAAAGAAAAACCCAAATCCCCACTCTTCCCATAAACTCTTCATTAAATGCAATGACTTAAATGCACATGTAAATTGTCCTCCCTCTCTAGGAACCTAGAAGCCCTTTACCAATGCTGTTTTCATTCATCTTCAAAAGACCATTAAAGGTAGCCATGGTTACTGCTCCTAAATGTATAGATGTATAATATGCAGGCAGGCAGGCAGATAGTGATGCAGCTATGTCATAAAATCGGTGACAGTGACAGAATCAGCACCACAATCCCTATTCTCTTCTGCATTTTTGACAAGTGCCCCTTCTAACTCTAGACATGCAGGTAAAATTACTTAAAATACTCAAACCAGTGTCAAATACATGAAATCATGGGGCTGCCAGTTTTGGCCTGATTGAATTACTTTTTCATCAGTTACCCAAGACTACATCTACTTGAGTGAACTTATAAAAATTACAGCAGAGTGGCACCTAGATTTATCAAATTTATAAGTACATTGAAGAGGACGCTCCGGAAGACAATGACCACAGACCCTGTAAAACTGTGGACTGACCTGATACACACACACACACACCTGTCAGGTTCTGCATTAGCACTGGCCTGCCAACTCAACCCTTGAGCCAATCCAGCCTTCATCTGTATGCTGCCCGTCACATATCCCGATGAACTCGGAAACCAAGCCAATCTCTTCCCTCCATTTACACCAAACCTATACACCGCAGTCCATCTCTCATGACAATCCCACTATCATCTACTCAGCCGACTCAAAACCCCCAACATACACCAACCTGCCTCACTCTCTCAATAACGTTCACCAAATTCTTATCCACCCAATTTGCTTCCGGATGCCCTATAAATTAGACACCCCTCTCTCACAAAGTCCCGTCTTTCTCAAGGTTTCCCTTCATCTCACCTCCTAATCTAATCAAGCAGACTTTTATTTTTTAATTTTTTTTAACCCTATCCCACATCTATTCTTGCAGACACAGACACCAATCCCATCCACCTTTCCGCCCAACTATACCCTTAACTTCGACCCGGCCCTACTCGCCCCCCTCAGGCCAGTAACGCCAGTGGTAGTAGTGGGATTTAACTCCTTCTGCAGCGCATGCGCCGAAACCACAGACACAAACAAGGAGGGGGTGGGGGAAGGAGGAAGGAGCTTAAGACACTCCGGGAGAGTAGCGCGCACCCTCCCATTTTGGGCTCGCGCTGCTGCCGTTAAGGCGGGAACCGGAACGATCTCTATTCCAGCGCGAGCCTCACCAACCACCGTGCGCGCGGATCCTGAGGCTCGCGCTGGCGGCCTGAGCAAGCTCGCGCCGAGCCTGGTTACTGCGCCTGCGCCGCGGCAGATACTCGTCTCTACCGGGTCCGCTCCCCTCCGACACCCCGGCAACGCTAACTCCTCACCCCTTTGAGTCGCTTGACCAGGGCACTCTTCTGCCCGCTCTTGGCTAGGCCTCGCTGCTCCAGTGCGGCCTTCAGGTCGGTCACCCGCAGCGCCTGAAGAGGCTTCCCGTCCAGAGTCACCTCCTCCAGCTCCGCCATCTTGCGTGAGGTACTCGGGTCCGTCCCGACGGCTTCGGGCATCTTCGGTAATTTCCGCCAACGCCCTTCGAACGTACCAAGCCGACCCCGCCCACTGCCATAGTCTACCCCTCGATTACCACTCAGAATTCCCCGGATTCCTCCGGAACTTCTCGGGTGTTTCCGCCGCCACATCGGCACCAATCAGTTCTTTCCTTTGCCCTACAGCTCTCCTTCCGTCGCCTGGCTTTCAGGCTCGGTTATCTCCGTCTGGTCGAGGCTTTGAACCGAATGTTTTCGGAAGCGCTCGACTCTGGCATCCCATAATCGGAGATACTCGGTTACCTCCGGACCTAGAACCCGGGCGCTGGGGCGCTTGGGTGTTTGGGGCAGGTCCGGCAGCGGAAGTGCGTGGGCTGCCCAGCAGGCCCTGCTTAGGGTTTTCAGGAAACATGGAAGCGGTGGCGGTAGTTGGAGTCTAAGGACTCTTTGTGACGATCTCCAGGTGCCCCCGGAGAGGAAACGGGAGGTAAGTGGAGTAAAAGTTCCTCCTTGGGTCAGACTCGGTGTCCGTAGAGTACCGCGTAGGGCAAGCCTCCCGCTCGCATCACTGAAACAGCTGCAGCTGCATCTTCCGAAATCCCACCACTCCTTTTTAGGGTAACGTCGTTCTTTTGAGACATCTGAGTAACAGGCTCCATGGCTTCCAAAGTGGCAAGAAGCATTACCATGTCTTTGAACCCAGAACTGATTCATGACACAGAACTTGAATTTGCCGAGGAAGCCCTGTGGCGGCGAGACTCGGAAAAGTTCTCCCTTTCACGGACTGAGAATAAAGTTCTTTTAGGAGGAGCTGTTTCTCTTTGGACTTTGTGATAAAGGCAATCGCCCTAAACTGACGTTAGTCGTTTAGGGGCTTCGTTCTTTGTATCAGCAAATCCTCTAACTTGCAGCAGTTTAACAGTAAAATTGAGATCCTAGACAAATAGGTTAAGGTTTTCATTGTTAGAGATTCAAATTGTGGGACTGAAAACTAGCCAAGTTTAGTCGGCTGACCTTGCACTTGCATTCATGATGCAAAATCAATGGCAGGGCACCCATGGGAGTCAAACTGAACGTTAAGGGAGGCCAGCCAGGTGGCATGGAGGTTAAGGTGGCTAGACCAATACAGATGACTGTGGTTCGAGTCCAGGGCCTGGAGGATTGAGAGAAGCTCTGGGAATGTGTGCATATGTGTCCCCAAATCCCAAGAGGAGAATGGAGAAGAAGGTATTGCCTGGTAGTCATTCCCCCCTGGAAGGCTGCTTTCTCCCTTTCTCCGTCTCTCTCCAAGAGCATACACCCTATCGCAAACTAAAAAAAAATTAAGGGAAATTGTTCCAAGGCATGAATTATACAGCAAGTGTAACACTTGTTCAAAACAACATAACTTTTTGTCTTGAATAAACACCTGGCTTCTGGTGTTTTTACTGTGTTACCTTATTTTGGGCAAGGCGCTTACTCTTTTTTTCCTGGTACTGTTACAGGAAAGGAGGTAACGGATGTTATGAAGTTCTTGGCATAATTTTAGGGGCTATATGCACTTTACAAAGAAGCTTCTTTCGGCACATGTTTGCCCCCCCCCCTTTATAGCCCCGTAACAATTAGCACCTATGCAAGGTACTGGAGTTTAAAATGTGTACTTTTTCATTTTAGAGAATATGTGATGCACCAACATTAATCTTTTTTTTTTTTTTTTACCCAATCTGAACATAGAATTAGGGAGAGAGAATGAGCAAGAAATGGGTTATTTTTAGAATCTTTATAAGAAAGATAGAAGCAGTGGTTGGGGAGGATAATCAGTTTGAAAAAGAAGGCTGGGAAATCTGAAGTGAAGCCATTTGTAGGTGACTTCTCTAAGGTAGTAGGATAATTAAATGAAGGACACTGTTGGGACCAGAAGGTGGCGCAGTGGTAAAACACTGCTCTGCAAGGCAATTCTAATACATGGCAGGGGTAGGTAGGTCCAAGATCCTAATCTTTGGTTAAGATTCTCTGTTGCTGGAAAGTTGTATTTTGGTTGCTCTATCTAGAGAATGTATAACAGTGCTTTTATGTTTCAGGATGCCACTGGAATCATCTTCCTCTTCGATGCCATTATCCTTCCCTTCTCCCTTACCCTCAGTACCAGACAATATCAGTAACTCTTCCCCTCCTCCAATGTCTTACATCACTTCCCAGGAGATGAAGTGTATTCTTCACTGGTTTGCCAGTTGGTCAGGTCCCCAGCGTGAACGTTTCCTACAGGACCTGGTAGCTAAGGCAGTGCCAGGAAAATTACAGCCACTTCTGGAAGGTCTGGAGCAGCTTAGTGTGTCTGGGGCAAACCGACCACCTTGTATCTTTGAGTGCCAGCTACGTCTTTGGGATCAGTGGTTTCGAGGTTGGGCTGAGCAGGAACGCAATGAGTTTGTCAGACAGCTGGAAATTAGTGAACCAGACTTCGTGGCAAAGTTTTACCAAGCAGTGGCTGCTACAGCTGGTAAGGACTGATAGGCATTCAGATCAAAGAAGATAACCACAGTTGATGAAGCTGAGGTCTTGACTGCAGTGAAAATTCAATTCAGATGTGTCACTTAAAGGCCTGTATCCCAGTCAGCTCTCTGACCTTGCTGACCAGCACAGGCACGATTATTTCAACATTAGCATGTCGACTGTACTTATACTGTAAATGCGATTTGTCTACACAAATCCAGATCATCGGTCTGTCTTCTAGACTGCTTTTTTCCAAGAGATGTCAAACCCCAAAGAATTTGATGGCTTCTTTTGCAACTCTACCCTAAAGGAACCTACATATAACTCAAGCCTACTGCTAGCCCATGAAAAGTATAAAGTAGAACCTCCCTTTCCCAGAAACACAAGAGAAGGACAATAAAAAGTCATATCTTTATAGTTTAGCTGGATTCACATGGCTGGTTTTACTACCCTTACCAGATTCTAGCATAATTATGTAACATCTCAATCACAAGCTTACCTGGTAGTGACTTGGTAAAATTATGGAAAATCAGGAGAGGGAAATGATTATAATAGTTACTCCCTCCTTCACACTGTGGTAGTTTGACTCCAAAGTGACTCTCTAAAGCATCTGGGATATCCTTGGAGTTGATAGCAGATGTTCCTATTCTATAAGTTTTCTTTACAATAATATGAAAACAAGCTATACTCTTTACAGATTGATTTGTTTATTTTTTATGCCAAAATAAAGAATGGATCTTTAGAACCATAGGATTTTCATACTTAAGGCTAGTATAAAGTTGACACTTGGGGGAAGAGCCATTTGGAACTTCAGTGTACACAATAGACAGACTTTTCCCTTTAGTTATCTCCCAAAGAGTAATCCTCTACTTCCTGTCCTGTGCTGGGCAACATTACACCACCCTTACTCCTCCATCTGGGCCCCTTGTGCCATGGAGGTCTGGTGAATGGTGGAGGGCAGATGGTCCCACCTGAATGGTAGTCCGTTTCTGGTAGGCTTTTGTTCCCAGCATACCCACCAGGATGAGCATCATTAGGCAAAGTCCCATGTAAAGACTTGGATGGGTTGTAAAGGGGTTATGGTTTGAGGTAAGCAGCACCCTAGGAGCACAAAAGGTAATATTTCACCTGGAATAATACCTGGGCTTAGGAGATGAAGAGCTTTACCTTTATAGTAGAACTCATGAAACCCTGCTTTATCCAAGCATTAAGCTGAACAGGATACCAGTAAGGGAATTTAGAACCAGAAAGTAGGAATGAGACCAAGATCCAAGTCTTCTGTCTAACCATTGGAAGGATACCTAACCTGGCAATGAGGGAAGTGGTTTAGGAGAAAAGTCAGACTATGGTATGTAGTAGCTAGCCATGGCCCTAAGGAGTGTTTAAGGCAGTAAGAGGCTAGGATCCTGTGTCCTAGGGTTGGGGGACCTTCATTGTACATGGGGAGGGAGCTGCATACTGATGGGCCTGAGGTGACCCTGTTAGGCATCTTCTCTGAAATACAGTCCTGTCTAGGAAGCATATGCATGAGTGAGTGCTTGACTGTGATTTGAAACATGATGCCAGGAATTTGAAAGATTACTTGGTGTAGTATCTTACTTGCTGTCTTCTGTGGTAAAGCTGGCTCCTCCATGAGATACTTCTAGGGGCTTCTCCTGGATAGTCAAGGTCAAGGTCCTGTTCAACATAGCAACCGAAGGCCCTTGGCAGCCAGGGGGCTTCCACATGTGCACAGTGAACACCAAACTACTGGTAATTGATGGGCTGTGGAAATAGCACCTAAATGGACATTTGAATCTCTTAAATGTAGGTACTATCCCTGGAAGAATGTATCTCATGAAACAGCAGGCTTAGGAGTGGGTTGCACAGAGAGTCCTCAGAGAAGAGTTAACAAAGTAAAGAACTTAGCATTCTCCCTTGCCCCTTGTATACTCAGCCTGAACTGTCCCTTTACCTGCCAATTTCACCTCTGCTCATCAGTGCCTGCAGTACTGCCTCTGCCAGGTCTTCTCTCTGTTCCCCCAGGGAGTGGTCTGGAGGCCCGGCTAATCCTAAAGACAGCTGGAATAGCAGGTCTTGGTTTGGAAGACTCACAGGTGGAGAAGTAATAGCATTGATACCTTCAGTAGTCTGACATAACCGACCTCGAGGACAGAAGAGAAGACCATAGTACCTGGGTATCTGCAAGTAAATATATAGCAGGAGATAGCTACATGTTCAAGGCTTCCTTCTGAGGAAAATAGACATTCTAGAACATAGTCATAGACTCATTGGGTACCCAAAACAGGTTGGGAAGGACTACCATGCAAGCACTTCCCAACTTCTTTTTGCTAGTGTGCCACAATTATTCTTTTCTAGTGCCCACCTGAATAGCCTTTCCTGGAAGACATGGGACCCAAGGTGATCCCTTCACCTGCACCTTATATGCTCCCCTCTCTGTACATTGATGCAAGTAGCAGCGGCCAGTGAGCTCTGTTTCTTTGAGGTGTGGGCTTTGAGAAGGATGTCTGATTTGATCTCCAGAGAGCAGTTGTGAAGTGAGGTTGGCAAGGAAGCAACGACTCTGGGAATGGTAGATTTCCCCGTGGGGATTTTCTGCCCCAGCCGGGAATCCATTCTCCTCTTTCCAGCATTCACTCTGTAGGTCAGGGCATGGCAGGATATAGAACAGTGTTTGTCTAGAATGCTTAGAAGCTGACGCCCAGGCCCACTCAGTTTCACCTCTGCTCTCTACTCACCCCATTGGCTAAAGGCTTGTACATGCGGCAGCCTTCCAGCATGGGGTCTGAGGAGCAGCTTCCTTTGTCCAGGAGTAGGTAGTGGCAGCCCAGCCCGCTGTGTGGAAGGGATGGTAGGGTGAAACTACGATCATTGAAAGCTAGACAATGCTCCAGCCACTCAGCACACACCTGCCAGTACAGAAGAAGTCTGAGGAGTCAGTCCCACATGTAGACACCAGGCCAAATTTCGGGCCGGCTCCTGTTTGAGAGAGAGGATGAGAAAGCCCTCAACAAGTGAAGCGTCAAATCCATCTGCAGCAGGTCTGTTTATAGCCTCAATGACACCTTAGCAGCAGGTAATCCCTTCCAACCTCTCCCACTTCCCCCAGAGCTCACTTGGGTAATCAGTGCCCCTCTGCAGTTCTGCCTTCTCACCGTGGCCCCATAGCAGCTCTTCTGCAGCACTGTGGTTGACCTGGTACCAGCCTGTGTCTTCGAAGGCAGCCAGTGTGATTGTGTCAAGTCGAGTGTGCTGGGCACCATCAAAGGTAGCAGTCATTAAAGAACCCTGGAGCAGTCGGGCCTCCCAGTGGGAGGACAAAGGGCCCTATTGGAGGAGGTGGCAGATAGCTGGTTGTTACCTGGCTAATCCCTCTTCGGTCACTCTGCCCCAAAGGTGCTCTCATTCTTACCTCATCTTCCAAAGGAACACCCAGTATAACCCCTCGCGCTCCCAAGTGTTCGGCCAGGCTGTGGCTGGCAGTTGGGGTGGTAAGAAGCAGCTGTCCCCACTCATCTCGCCTCGTCACTTGTTGCCTCGTCGAACAGTTCTCTCTAACTGAGCACAGAAGAGGAAGAAGGCAGTGTGATGAGAGAAGACCTTAGGAAGGGTGAGGTAAGATTGGAAGGAAGGCCCTGTGAGAATGAATTCCCTCTGGCTGACCATGTCAGAAGAACTTTCCCTCATTCCTCTCACCACCGCTGAGTCCTGTGGGGCAATCTCGCCACTTCTTGAAGAGCTGTCCAGAGAAACCCAAGGCATGGAGCAATTCATGTAGTGTGGCCTAAGGACAGATGACTGGTGAGTAAGGGAGGCTGAGTTTGCAGCTGGACGAACAAACCACTCTGTTTACTCTCGGTGTAATCAGCGCTCTAAGAGCTTTGAGGCACCTTCTGCTCCATTCTCAGCAGGTTCTTTTGACGTCATGGGAAGCTAAGTGACCTGCCTCTCCCCCCAAGCTGCTTGCTGCTCCCTGTCTATCATGTAGCAGTCACCATGACAATGTCTCCATGGCTGAGGCTGGAGCTGGTGAGGTACTGAGCACAGTAGACAATGGTCCCAGCAAGAGGCCTGTCTTCCGAGTCCAGCTGGCAGCAGGCAGCATAGGCTATGACAGAGGGCTGTAGGTGGGTCAGGGCAGGGTAGGAGTAGGAAGGAGGAAGGTAGGGTAACACAGGTAGAAGACATCTTGAACATGGAGGACCAGAGAACTCTGCAGAACTCTGTCAGTGTGGTACTGAGGGATGGCTATGGGCAGGGTTAGTTCCTACCCCAACTTTTATTGGTTGCCCCAGTTTATCCCAAATCATCACAACTTAATAAAAACAGCTCTTATGCTCCCTACCCCTGATGAGATTAAAGATGAAGAGAGGCAGGGCAGGGAAAAGGATTTAATTTGAACCTTACCTCTTGGTGGCACTTGGAAGTGTGGGCAACTCGCACATACAGGAGAAAATCAGTGTTTTGGACTCCAGGCCCATCTGGCTGGATTAGTTGTGGAGGACCGTGCTCTGGCCACAAGGCATAACCGTGGAGGTGGGCATCAGGAATCTGATGGAGTGAAATGTAGCATCTAGTTTAGCAGATGGGCTGGAATGGCAAAACAAAAAACAGGAACTAGAATGGGAGAACGATTATCTTTATTCTTGTCTTCCTGTCATCTGTGCAGCCACTTTGAATAGAGTTCTGCCCCGTCCACTACCTCCCACCCAATCCCTGACAATAACTTTTGGAGGAGGGGGGAAAAGGCCCAGGAAACTCCATTGTTATAATGCACATTAAATCTGATGCTTGGGCCAGCCCTGTGGCCTAGTGGTTAAGGGAGCTGGATCTTACATGACCAACTGTGTGGTTCAAATCCCAGCCTCAGCAGCTTGAGAAAAACACACCAGGTACGGGTGTACACACGCCCCAAATCCCAAAAAGATGGAGAAGTGGAGAAGGAACTGGCGTGACCATCCCCCATCGGGATGCTTTCTCCCTCTCCCTCTGTCTAGTAAGTGCACATGCCCTCTGGTAAAAAATTTAAAAAAAAAATTCTGATGTTGGTGGGTTTAGGAAAATCTAGGCAGGCTAGAGAAGCTCAGATCTCTAGACTGAATATTTGGTTTCACCTTTGCTCCCAGGCACCTCTCCCCTTTGTACCCTGGGTTCAAGAGGCTGCACCTGCCAAGAAAGAATATCTTAGACGGGCTGGAGACATTTCTTGAGTCTCCCGAAGAAGTATTGTACACATTCTCGACGGGAACTCACCGGTGGTGGTTTGGGGTTTCTGGGTCTCCCCAGACAGCATGGCAGTACTGTGCAGGGTCTCGACTCAGAAGCAAGGGTCCTTGCACTGGAAGGACTTCACGAGAGTTGGATTTCACTCAGCATCTTAGAGTTTCAGGGCCTTTTCTGTGTAGGTCTCTTCCCCGACCCTTTACCCATCCTGTTCCCTAACTCACCTGCGAGGATGCCCTGGATCCGCTGGGTGGCCTCTCTCACTGCAGCCAGGGCTCGAGCTTCCCCTCTTCTCCAGTCCCCCTCAGGATCCTGAGCTCCATCTGATAGAGGACCGCCTACATGGCAGGCGTGGATCCGGAGGGGCTGAGGATCTCGGGAGCCAGGGAGCAGGAGGGAGGAAGCGCGGAATTTCAGAGGAGGTTGAGGGAGAGGGGGCCTGAGAAGGCTCACGGACTTCTGGGTCTCATCGTGTAGACATCTGCCTGCGGCAACCCCTAGGAGCAGCAGTCGTGGCAGCAGTTTTCTCCAGTCTCCCTCCATGGCAGCCCGGAGCCTGACTGGAGCCTGTGTGCTGCCCTCCTCTCCCCTGGATCCCTTATTTCTGGCTTTTGTCTCTACCGTCTCCCTCCATATCCTCTCTACCACCCTTGCTAATTTTTTCAAGATCTGAGTGTTGTTGACTGAATCTACTGTTTCCTGCCAGGAGATCGGATAGGAACCAGAAGGGCCAAAATGACCCTCTTCCTGGAGTGCCAGAGGAGTGCTGGGGGAGGGTAAGTGTTACTCTGAGGAGCTTACCAAATCCATGAGGGACCTGTTTCCTAACCTCCTCTCCTGCCTACTTATTCCCCCACCTTTCTAAGTAGGAAACCTTGGGACCTTCCCAGAACTGAGAAATGTATTTTAACATCATACATGAGAGAGTGGGGGGGTGGCATTCTTCACTGCATAGATGTTGACCTGCCTCCCTGGACACGGCAAATGAGCTTCCGCACCTCACTAGCCCATATCTGGCTGGGTGGCCTTTAACCAAACTGCAAAACTGGTGAGCACTCCTTCATCTATGTGTGGCCCTTAGCAGGCTCTCAGCACGTGCATGTTAGTTGACTGACACCTCCTGTAACAGGTGTTGTGTTAGGTCTGTGAGGCTTCATAGAAGCTGCTTCCAGGAAGAGAGAGGAGGGAAAAGAAACCATTAAAATGAACATGAGGGACCAGCAGGTGGTGTAATGGTTACATTGCTGGATTCCCACATAGTCGACCATGGTTCAAGTCTCAGACCTGGCAGCTTAAAACTCATGCTGGGCGTGTGTGCATGCATGTTCAAGATCCCAGGAGGAGAATATAGGAGAAGGGATTGTAGTGTGGCCACCTCCCCCACCAAGGCTGATGTCTCTCTCTTTCCGGCAAGCGCATGCACCCTGTAGCAAAAATCTCTCTTAAAACAAACAAACAAACAAACAAAAAACCTAAACCAAGGAAAAAACAGACATGAATAGGCGTTGGAAGATGTTTGGGGAACTCTCAAAACTCTGCTCTCTTTCTTATGCTGTGCCTTCACATCCTGTTTGTCCTGCTTGGCAACTCCACCTCCCCTGGCGACTCCACCTCCCTGGCGAATTCCTCCTGCCAGCTAATTCCTACCTTTCCTGTAATTGTTTTGGGAAGCCTTTCTTAACACCTCTAACCCAAATTCCACATCTGCTAGAGGTGGAGGGAGACCACTTCCCAGGAGGGACCTCTCTTCCCAGCTCTTAACCGGACATGGACACTCGTCTGTCCTGTTATAATTGGCGTGGTGTCTTAGTGGTTCTGCCTGTACACCCTAAACTTCGTGGCGGTAAGCCTGCTTCCTGTTGGTCTTTGTGTTCACAGCACATGGCCTGGCCTGTAAGACTTGGTCTCAGGGTGTAGATGAAGGTGCAGAAGCTAACCCCATTATTCGACTTTTGAAGAGGCAGGTCAGGGATGAAGAGATTAGCCTTAAAACAACATGCTAATTGGACCAGCAGTTAGCGTAATGGCTATGTCACTGGACTCCCATGTCCGAGTCCCAGACCCGGTGGCTTAAACTCACGCCAGGAGCGTGTGCGTGCGTGCCCAAGATCCCGAGAGGAGAATGGAGGAGAAGGGATTGTAGTGTGGCCATACCCCCTGGGAGGTGATTCCTCGCTTTCTGTCTCTATGTCTCTCTCTGTCTGGTGAGCGCATGCGTCCTATAGCAAAAAAAACCTCTCCAAAAAAAAAAAAAACAACCCAAAAACAACATGCTAATTACAGACAGAAAAGGAGGAGGGTTTAGAGAAGGGCTACTGACTTCCCAGGGATGCTGGGTTATTTTCTTTTACACGCTGAAACTGTGACAGAAACTACTGATTATAAGGAAGACACCTGTGGAGAAAATACATTCTTTTACGCTGTTGGTGGGAACGTAAATTACTACAGCCATTACGGAAAACAGAAGCGAGATTCCTCAGAAACTGGAACTGAACTGCCGTATGATCCAGCAGTCTTGCTGGTAGTTCTATATCCAAGGGTACATAATCAGTCTGTTGTAAAGATGTTGGGACTCTGCAGAGGAGCCCCAAGAAGATTCGGGATCCCCCACCCCCTCTAGCCCTGCAGAGACCTACTACAGCCTGAGGCACCCCGGTGCTGTGTCCCTTTGGACCCAAGAGGCCACTGGCACCGTGGAGTCTGGGTGGGCCCAGCTCCTGAGCAGAGCAACACATCAGGCTGTAGCTGTTAATCCTGTTGGTGTGTGGGGTGGGCTGGGTTAGGGCAGAAGACTGCTGCTTGGATTTTAGTTTGCTCCCTATTAGAAACCAACAGTTTTGATCTTAATTTAATTTGGAGCTAAGAAAAATAATTTGATGTTTTTCCAATATCTTTTCCCTGTCCTGATTTTTAAAAGCCCTTATTTCCCCCTCTCCCCTTTTCTTTAGGCATATGTAGTAACATTAGCAGAAAGATTTAATTTGGGAAACTTTGACTCTTAAAAGAGAAAACAAAGCATGTCAATAAACGTTGAAATGTTCATCTCAGTTTGGGACCAAACTGCTCAGATCTTTGTTAAGAACCAGTTTTGTATGTCGAGTTCCAGGTTGTCTGACCACCTGTGTTCCCCGGTTTTACGCAGCCCTGCAGTGCACAGAGTTGCTCTGGTCCACACCCACTCCCGTGTTTCCTGAGTTCTGGGCTGGGCTTCCCATTCTCCACCAACAGCTCTAGTAACCCAGCTTTCTAACTTTGCTGACCATTAGCAACAGGGGTGGGAACTGGAGGGCAGTTTCTAGCCTGTTTTCTAAGAAACTTATGAATTCTATTATCTTTACAAATGTAAGATGAGAACATTTTTTCAATATTTTTTACTGATCTTTTTATAAAATGAAAAGAAACTTCTATGATCGATTAAGGAAGGTGGTTATGGCTGGGTGGGTCATGGGGTTTTTTGGTTTTGATTTTTTTTGTGGGTTTACTTTTTCGTTCTATTTTTTTTTCAATAATTATTTTATTTATTCATTTATTTATTTTAACTTGACTAGAGAGAGACTCACAGAAAGAGAGAGAGAAAGTGAAAAAGCAAGCCACCAGGTCCAGGACTCGAACCATGGTCAGCTATGTGGGAATGTCCAGCCCCTTAACCACCATGCCACCTGCTAGTCCCTCTTTCTTTCCTTTAAATTGAAATATTCTCAGATGTTTTGGGGAGAAACCTCTTTCTTTAATGAAAGAATTATTAATTATTTATTTGATTCCATTTGTTATTATTGTTTATCAATTTGACCAGATAGAAACAGAGAGAGAAAGAGAAAGTGAGAAAGCAAGCCGCCAGGTCCGATATTTGAACCATGATTGGTCTTGTGGGAACCCAGTGCTTTTAACCACCACACCACCTGCTGGCCCTGGAGCATTGTCTTAAAATGGGTTCTTGTAAAAAAAAATAATAAAAATAGGGGACCAGCAGGTGGTGTGGTGGTTAAGGTGCTGGACACTCCCACGTGGCTGAACACGGTTCAAGTCCTGGACCTGGTGGCTTGCTTTCTCATTTTCCTTCTCTCTCTC